CATATCAAATTTGGAATGTCCATGACAATCATCCAAAACTTGAATATCATCAGAATGATGAGATAGTTGAGCGTTGGATTGTATTTCAACAATTTCAACTCCACTAATTCTACCATCCAACACAAAACTATGTTTTAAGTCATATACAGGAATGACCCCACAACCCTTGATGCACTCTGTTTTTGCAACTCCAAGTTTTTTATAATTGAATTTAAATGAAAGGTTGTAATGATCACCTCCACTTTCACTCCCAATCTTCACCCAGTCAGAATTATAACACTCTATGCAACCTAACAATACATGATCTGAAATTAATACATGATCTGAAATTAATACACCTGACCAATCCCATTTCCAGTAATACATGGGTTCTTCGGAGTGTTGATAGATAGTACAAAAAATTTCAGTTCTAAGATCCAGTCCTCCTGAGAGAATGATGCAAATGACAAAACCACACAAACCATATTTTGGAATAGGAGGAATAACTATGGAAGCCTTTGTTGTATGAAAATAAAAATTACTAGGAACTTGAGCACCTGGAAGCAAACATGAACCCATATGATAACTTAGCATATACCAGTTCATCCTCCATGAACGGGATCTGTTGTATAACATGTTCTCAGGTGAACGGAGTATGTGTAACATATTCTCAAGTATTGATCGTTGAATGGAGTTAGTCTCCAAATGAATGCAATTCTTGGCTGTAAAGCTGTGCAAGCTAACTGGAAGTTTTGGTAGGGACTTAAGTTTCTGGCAGTCATCTAAATCAAGAATTTCCAACATTGAATTGTTTTGGATGTTGTCAGAGAGAGTTTCTAAGTTGTTGCATTTTCTCAAACATAAAACTTTTAAAGATGGTGTACCATCAAGGATGAACCAAAGACTCGATGTATTGATCTGTGTGCATCCTGTGAGGTGCAATTCAGTAAATTTCTTATTACACAACATAAATGAAGAAAATCCATGTACAACAGCGTCCCATAAAGACAACTCCATCATTTCCTTCGATGTTACCGAAAATTCCGCAAGAGATGAAGAACTAGAGAGATCGAGCATTTGGAGAGATTCTAATTGAATGTTATTTTTCAGGCTTTTAATCTTTTTACAACCAGGTAAATATAGTTGTCTAAGCTTGGGGGCACTAAAAATGGATGGATGGAGTTGACAGAGACTCTCACAATACGAAAGGGATACTACTTGAAGATTTGGGGCCCTTGATAAATCTGGAATCTCAATCAGGTCTTTGGAGTAATTAAGATTAAGAATCATTAAATTGTCAAGCCTCTGAATGAGAAAAAAAAAAGAGCACATTGTTGAGAAATCACTAAAATAAATCATGATCATACATAAGTCTTAACTAAAAAGGAATCAAAACTTAATTAAATTGTACCTGAATTCCATCCCAAAGCTTTTTAAGCTTGCTATGCTGCATTTTAAGCTTTACAAGAAATTTTGCATAAAAGGTTGATGGCAACGACTCTAGTGGGAATTTATGCCACTCAAGACACCTCAATTTATCAGACAACCACTCAAGACCTTCAAGGAAATGCAATCTACTTTGAAGATCTATATCGATATAAAGATGTCTTAAGTTGATCATGCTTTTAAAGGAATCAGAGCTCAAGTACAAATCCCCTTCATAAATACTAAATTCTATAGCTTCAACAACTTCAGTTCCCTAAAAAACAAATTTAGAGTAATGATTAGTAAAGACTAACATACATATTTATCTTACTTAAATTTCATCCATTTTCATATACAAGTAAATGAATCTCACAGTTACCTTGTTATATTTCAATACATCGTACACATCCTTTTGATCCCACAATCGACTTCTTCTTCCAGGGTCTTTGACAGATTCTTTTATAACAATCTCTTTTCCCATTTCTATTAACAAATCATGCATTCTGATAAAGCGTTCCATTTCAAAATATATGAGTGCTTTATCTTTAAGGACTTGTAATCCACTCTCGGCAAAATACTCACAAGCATTCCATACTACTGTTTTGTAATCTTTATCATCGAGATAAGCACATCTACATGAATATTCGGAGATGCATGCAATGTCTAAAAATATGGCTTGTTGAGTAGAATCTAAGTCATCAAAACTCAATTTTAACACATCATGGATTCTCTTATTGGGAATTTTTTTGAGTTTCTCCAACTCACTTTCCCATGCTTCTTTACTTTTTTTTGTACGAAAGTTTGCACCTAAAACTTTCAACGCCAGGGGATTGCCTCTACAAAAAAGAATTGCCCTTTCTGATAGATTATCATATCCATCCTTAGGACATTTTTCTCCAAAAGCATTCCAACAGAATAATTGAAGAGATTCATCTGCATTCATTTCATCAAACTCATATATTTCACACTCGTCAAATTGACTGCATATCTGCATATCTCTAGTTGTGATAATGACTCTACTCCCTTCTCCCAAGTATTTATGGACTATGTTAACATTTTCTGCTTGTTCTAAAGTTGCCACATCATCCAACACAATGAGACTTCTTTCATGTGCAAGTCTGTTTTTGAAAATTGGAGTTTCTGTATAAGGTGCATTGAGAGGAGACTCCAACAATGTAGAAAAAAGTTTGTTACGTACAGACTTGAGTCCACTCTTGGTTGATTCTTCCCTTATATTTTCAATGAAGCAAGTACGTTCAAATTGAGAACAGAGTCTACCATATAAATGTTTGGCTAGAGTGGTCTTTCCTATGCCTCCCATTCCCCATAATACAATGGTTCTAACATCATTTGACCCAATTTTCAGTAAAGATTCCATCTTTTCATACTTTGTATCAATGCCAACAAGTTCCTTGTTAACTTCAAATGGGTATCTCCCATACAATTTTTTCAAAACATCTTCTACAATGTCCTTAACGAAATTTGATTCCATCCTACCAATATGAATGGGAGTGGAAAAAGGTCAACATTTATCCTCAACATGATTGAGCAATAAACAATGGAAAAATAGATTTTTAATAAATTAGGTGAAAAGTTAATTGTATTTACCCGTAATTTTGAGAGTTCCATCCAGATAAATTAGCTGCTTCGGTGAGTGCATCTTTCCATTTCTGCAACTTGTCTTTGTTGTGTTTCAAATCTCGCTCATGTTTTTCAAAAGCTTGCCGATAAGTTCCAGATTGATTCCTGACATCAGATGGTTCTATATCATAGAAAACAGGTATGACAATCTGTCTCCGATCTCTCTTGCATTCTAGAATCTTAACGAGTTCATTCAAACACCATTTTGAAGATGCATAGTCTTTTGAAAATATGACTACAGATGCGTCTGACTCCTCAATAGCTTTGTTGAGTGCTGATGAGATCTCATCTCCTTTTTCAAGTTCAATATTGTCAATGAATGTTAGAACTTTTTTGTTAAGAGCTTCATAAAGATGACTCGTGAAGGTTTTACGAGTATCTTCACCACGAAAGCTAATAAAAACATCAAACTTTTTCAAAGATGCTACCTTAGAAGATGAAGAAGAAGAACCTATGTATTGTTGCATAGCCATTACAAATCTCCAATAGTATGCTTGGTGTATTACTATGGAAGTGTTTATATATAGCAAGCGGTAAGTTCTAGGAGGTTTTGTTGGGCTTCATGATTATTTATTTCAACCCAGTACGCTGACCCAAAGAAAAAGTAATGAATTGCTACGTATGCTTATCTTCTCTTATCTTCTCTTTCTCGAATAATTGCTAAACATAAAATACCATTTCTCAATCATGTGATATATATTGTCCTTTTCTAATTGTGTGATGTAAATTGAATTAGTGGTTAGGATGTGAAAAAAAATTATTATTCTTTACAAATTTAAGTTGATCCAATTTTTAAAATTCAATTCAAATGTTAAAATATAAAACAAAATATATAAAAATGAGTATTTATTTTGTTATCTAAATATAATTTGATAGTAATAATGATAATAATAATAGTAATAATAATATAGTTTAGTTATTGGGTATCCAAATTTTATAATGTATTAAATTTATATGCTTATATCTTTTCATAATTTATCATATGCACATAGTCAAATTTCTCTAACAACACATTGATAAATTCTGATTTTAATATTTGATTTCAAAAAATTTATTATTAAATTTAAATAAATTTTTTATAATATTATGTTCTACAAACATATATATATATATATATATATATATATATATATATATATATATATATATATTTCAATGTACATATATTCATTCTTTTTTCTCTCTCAATACATATAAATGAACAGATTTTAAGTATGATCTCACTCTTCTCTTGGATAAATTGTGTTTGTGATGCATCGAAAAACAAAACATTATTATTGGAAGATGACTCATAATAAAATAAACTATGGATTAACTATTTGATTCGTCTTTTCAACTTTTGTTTATATACATAATTTTGTTGATAAGTGTTCATAATTGATGAAGTACACTAACAATTTACAATAATTACTTCAATAAAAATACAATTAGTCGTTAAAATGATTTCAATTCAATTTAACATCAATTTAGAATTAATTTATATTTATGAATAAGTTTATAATGAATTTGAAATAATAAACCAATTTTATATTTTTAACTCTTTTAAAATAATTTGTTTTAAATTCCATAAAAAAGGTTAATTTTAAATTAAAATACTCTGAATACTAATTTTGAAAAAAAATAATTTTTTTCCTTGATAAAAGAATATTTTTTTTTATTTTATGGAAAAAAATTAGTATTTTGTTTTTGAAATTTTTTATTTTTTCATAAATATATTTTAATTTTCGGATTTTTTTTATTACTTTTGGAAAAATTAATTTTTTCTAATTTTCAGAATAAAAAGTATATATTTTTTTATTTTCAAAAAAAATATTTTTTTAATTTCAAAAATTACTAGTTTTTAATTTTTTTAAAATAAAGAACATATTATTAGCAAAAAAAAAAACTTGAAATACACGCTGATCCAAAGATCCAGGCCACAAGATGACAACTACCAAAGTTACAATAGAAACAACTTACATCCTATCACAATAGGCTACAAGTTCCCTATCCATATCAATTCTCCCTAGCATCATTTCTCTAATATGTTTACTATGAAAGATGTCCTTGTTGCAGTTTTGGAAGATAATTTTGTTCCTCACTGTCCAAATATGGTAGACAGTCTCAGCAATAACCATCTTCAAAAGTTTAATGCGACTTCCTTTGCCCCGAGTTTGCTGAATAATCCAAGCTAGCTCCGTTTTCCATCCACCCGGGTTATGTAAATCACCAATCCCAGCAAGAATATGCTTCCATACCTCCTTAGTAGCTGCACACTCAAAGAACAATTGGTGGCAACTTTCTTGTAAATTACACAACGCAAAAATTCCATTAGTAATCAAACCATGATTCCTCATACTATCTTTGGTCAGAAGACAATTTTGGAAAACCATCCATAAAGTGAAGATGACTCTAGGTCTAGAAATATTTCTAAAAAATAACTTCCTCCAATCCACCATTGGCCTATTACCTCACAGCAACACATTCATCCTTCTAGTACTTTACCTGCCAACCTCTTGAAAGTCCTTCCAGACCTCAGAATTAATTATCAAATCTCTGTTTTTGAAGATAACTTTCAATATCCATGAGCAATGACTAGCTGGATGGTACTCTCTAACATCTACACCCTTCATGTAGTAGATGTAGATCTAGTGTATCCATAATTTATCTTTTTTCCCCAAATATTCCACAGCAATTTACCTATAGTGGCTTTATTCACTATGGCAAGGACACCATATTTCTGCCTCTGCAGAGATGGGATCACAAACATGGTCCCAGGCTATAGGTGCTCTCCTTCTTCTATTGTCTCTGCCAGTCCACAAGAACTTTCTGCACAGACCTTCAATATGGGTTATCACCTTCTTAGAAAGAGGAAACATATGCATCCAATAGTTAGAGATAGAGAAGATCACATGCCTAACTAATTAGAATCTCCCTGCATAAGACAACTGTCTAGTACTTCAATGCCTCAATCTGTTAATCATCTTTTCAATGAGGGGGCTGGCAACTATGAACAAAAATCTTCTCGCTATCCAAAGGAACACCTAAGTGCTTAAATGGCATAGTACCACAATCAAAAATTATTTCTTGTTGAAGCATGACCTTAGTTTCTCTGTCCACTTCTCCAAGATATAGTTTACTTTTTAGATTGCTCATGTACAAACCGGTTGCAACAGAAAGATCTTTGACTTTCTCCATGTCATACCCTAAATTTGTCTTACCTGTGTATAACTTTCATTTTGTGCATCCGCCCACTAACCATTATTCAGAAGAAAAAAAATATGTTGCTTCTACTTGTGGTCTAAACTCAGGGTTTTGGAAGTTTGAGATGAATTAATTCAGGCTCAGTTAAGGCTTTTTCAGGGCACATGGGTGTGGAGATGGTGGAAACTCAAGAGGAGTTTGACTTGATCTTGGTTAGACAAGTAGTTGGTTTCATCCTTAAGATGTCAAGCTATGAAAAATCAGGGAGAGTCAAGCAGGCCTTTGTTCAAAATAATTTTAAAGTTGGATTCAGTTTCAATCACATTTTAGGGATTTGGTCAAGAATGTTTTATATTCAGGAATTGATTCACTTTCAGTCAGGTTCAAGGTACAGAGGCTTCATTGTTTCAAGGCTTTAAGGCATCTGAAGATCTAGAACGTTACATGTTCATTCTTTCAAGATTAATTCGAGGATTGTTGGAAATTGTTGGATTTGATTTAAGATTTGATGACTTTATTTCTTTGGAGTCAATTCAAGCATGATTATATAAATTCAAAAAAAAAAAGAATCATGTTTTCAAGCATAGAGGTCAAGGATTAAATGGAGGCGCAAATAATGGAATCAATTCAAAGTGGAAAGTCCATTACATTTTTTAAGGCCCGTGAACAGAGTTTACAAGCAGCCCATTACCAATAAAACTCTTCAAAAAAAAAACCAAAGGGCCATGATCAGAGCCCATTATCATTACATATCACCAAGTTAAAAAAAACGAGAAGACAAATTGCAAGGAATACACGGTCCAAACAACAACTTGTGAAATATAATTTAACCAAGACTTCCTCAAATGCACAACCTTCCAAGCTTCAAAAATGCCAAGTTGTTCCAGCCGACCTTCGTATTGCACATCAAGCTAGCTTCACACCAAAACAACTACTACGCCATAAAACCTGCAGTATGACGAAACAAGAGCCATGATTCACATACATAATCAAACCAATTGCAAAAATGAAGAACTACACAACTTGCATATACCACAATAACTGAGATCACGCGTCATAAACACAATACAAAATGATACGCACATGTAAATCAAAAGGGACCTTGACAATTTTTTTTTTGCGCATCACAATATTACTCTACAAACTTCAGACCCCACGTACAAAATCATGTCGTACATCAAGCATGACCCACAAACCAATTGGCAAATGATTCAAAAACACAAATACGCGTATGATACAAAAAAGGCGTCTGACACCATTACGTACACTTTCCCTTCACTATTCTTTCCAAAAGACCCTTCACTCTTTCACTATAAATGGGTACCACAACCATTCCTGGGGGAGGGGTTTTTTTTCTCTATTTTTTTGGTTCGATAACTCTGCAAAGACCGCTAGAAATTAATGAACAAAACTATCAAATTTTTTTCAAGAACACCACAACCCCAAACCTTCAACCTGACCCTCTTCTTCTTATCTTGCTTCAACCTTCCTCCAGTTCAAAATGAAAATAGATCACCCATAACCCACTTAATATCCATAACCACAAATCAAATCATAAATAGAAAATAAACCCAGAAACAGAAAGGAGATGAAGAAAGATTAAGAAAGTTTAAAGCATAAATCGAACCTGGATTCGTAATCGAACTTGAGCAGACTCAGAAATCGCATAAGAAAATTGAAGGAAAAGGTTAATAATGCCTTTAGCTTCTTAGTTCATACCACTATACCAAAAATGACCTTTAGCAGCGCTTTAAAGCGCTGCCTAAAGTGGCGCTGCTATAGGTAAAGGCAACGTTTTTTTTATGGAAAAAGCGCTGCTAAAGGCTCCCTTTAGCAGCGCTTTTGAAAGCGCTGCCTATTCCCCCTCCCCCTCCCCCCCTTTAGCAGCGCTTTTTTAAAAGCGCTTTCTTAGACCCCCCCCCCCTTTCCCCACCTATAGCAGCGCTTTTTCCATAAAAGCGCTGTCTAATGTGCACGATTTAAAATTTTTTTTTTCTTAATAATCACATTTTTTATATATTTTTCAATAAACCTGCTTATATTACATTCCCTGCTTATATAATTCAGCACTTTATTTCAATACTTTGGCCTTATATACACAATTCAACACTTAGGCCTTTAAGTATATATACATTGTACAAATAGATACGAATAGGCCTTTAAGTATATATATACATTGTACATATAGATACGAATAGATACAACTTATACAATTATACAATACCGTTAACTTTACAAATTGATACGACTTATACAATTATACAATTATCGACTCAAGCATAAATTGACACCAATCCTCCTTTATTTCTTCCAATTTTGCCTTCGAGTAAGTACCGCGCTTGAATTCATCAAAATACTACATAATATAACAGAACATGCACGATTTAATTTTAAAACTAATTACTCAGATGAAATATCGGTTAAGTATCAAAATGAATCATATAACTTATGAATTGATCCATACCATGATTGGAATCTCAATTTGACCAGAAAGAATAATTTCCTTCATAAAGCGCAATACAAAATATCCGCAGTCAATTCCATTGCGCTGACGAGGACACTGTAAATGGAAAAAACAAACGAACATTTATCAGGATATATAGTTTAAATAGTTTGATCAAGTAGAACCACTATAACAGTCAAACATGGAAAAATATACCTCCACTCTGATCCAACTGATGTTGTTAGCCTTGCTTTTTCGCACTGTTGCATCTCTTTACGCTCTGAATATTTGTATAACTCTAACATAATATAAACGCATATTTAGAACAATGTCACATAATAAATAAAGATATATAATTATTCAGAACAATATATCTCATCACTTACGTATCAACCATGTTCTTCAGATTTTCATATTTATTTGTATCGTCATCCAATGAATCTATATAATAGACTATTTCTTTCATCGGATTAATCGCGACCAACAACCAGTGTCCACTATAAAATAAGACAACAGTTTATACGGAAATATTATATAGAATGGCAAAAATCGAACAATTATAATAAATGAATTTAGAATAAAATCTAACCCATGTCCAGTATTGTATGGCAACAAGAACAACTTCTCCGTAATCGCGCCCATAAATCTCTGGATTGTGTACTCTTTGACTGTATCTGGTGTCTGGTCTATTGTCCGTGAGTTGATACAGCTAGCAGATAAGAATGCGAATGTTGAAGTCAAAGCTTTCGGGACCAACAACTTGTCATACAAGAGCCTAAAAAAAACATAATCAACATTAGAATATTCAGGTAATCAACTTGTTCAATTATTTAAATAAAATGCATCGGAGTACCTGATGTAGGAATGCATAACACCGACGCCCAATTCAGAATGTGTGAAAACCTGGTCAAAATCCTCCTTAGCAAGTGTTTCGGGATAGTCAAAACCGAAAATACCTTGCTCCATAGGTATTAGACGGATGCCACCCTGATGCACATCTGTTGTTCCTACTAGTGTTTCAAGGCACATTCTAAATCGAGTAACAGATGCTTTTTTTGGCTCGACCTTTTTTTTGCTGGGCACCTTGGAAGTTTCAGGCATCTTACCCTTGCTGACTTGTTGCGACTGCTGATCATGAACCTAAAAGTCATATATAAGTTCAGTAATTAATGTATATTAAGATAATCATGTAACTGTAGTAGTACCTGTTTCTTTGATGCAGTTGAATCGGTATCCCGCACAATAATTCTATCATCTTTTGATTTGGATTTTGAGGGAGTCTAAGATCATCATGTAAATAAGAAAATGTAAATGTAAGAATAACTTTCATGTATGGTCATAAAAAATTTGAATATTACAAGGTTCAACCTACCTCATCATCTAGGAAAATGAGATTTGCCGGCCAAGCAACATACGCTCCTATTGCGTCTTCCACCACTGTTGCGTCTGAAACATCATCTGGTATAGGCAACAACGCTCCCCCCTCTAACGCAATATCAACCGATACTTTCAAAAATCCAGCAGGGAGCGGTTTATGGTGAAGTAAGTCTCCCAGAGTGTTATGCACCTTTCCCTTGGCAACCATGCGATAAATCAGTGACGATAAATATAGCCGACAAGGTGAAATGCCCTAAACAAGTAATGATCAGTTAATGTGTCAATTAAGAAAATTGTGATAAATTAATTTTAATGTAATATATATAATTAAGTACCTCTAGAAGCTTCTGTGGATAACCGATACTATCTTTGTCACTAGTAGCCTTACCCTCTGGAGCGCGCCTTTCCGCCATGTATCTCTCCTTGTCCTTCTGC